TTTGGTACGCCAGACAGTTTAGTTTTATTCTATATATATATCAGTCAATATTGTATGTAGCAAAAAGTGTGTATTCTGTGCTTCGTTTCTATACAAGAAACGAACAAATTTGAAATTCTCGTGTAAGTTAAACGGAACAGAATTGTCATATATGAAGCATTATATTTTTGGTTTGGTTTTCATATTATAATGAAATACCGTACACAAATACGTAATTTAGAGGTTATAGTAACGATTTGTTGCTTACTCGGTCTTTTGATTTTTATTGAAATGATTTTATCGATCATTTTATAACGATACCCATTTGGGGACTTTTTCAAAAATGTCAAATATTTTCGAAACAAAACATAATTTGAATATAATTATACTGTTACACAATCTTTTGTGCATATATATAACTTACTCGACCAAAAATTTCAAGAAAAGAAATTTGGCAGTTAATAGATTAAGAAGAGACAGCTATCTTGGTACTTTGATCTATACTTTCCATGACTTCCTAACGACCCCTATGGTATAGAACACGTTGAATGTAATACACGAAACTAGCGACAGTACTAATTTTTTAATAATTCCATCTATTTTTTCATAGATCATTCATGTTACATTGAAGATAATATACCAACAATGCGCAATTATGAATAGTTTAAAATGGTATGACAACCTAATTGGAGGATGTTCGTGGTGAAGCTAGTTATCCTGGAGATCGACTTGATTTCCACGCAACAATGAGATCGTCTCTGGTCGCCATTGCAGAAGCATGCACAAAAACTGTTGTAATCGCTACTCATCGGTGTTGGTCCTTTGTTGTCAACCGGTTTATGCAACGCTGAAATGATAAACCGTGAAGTGGTTTAAAGTCAGAAGCCTGGATAACCTTGTTTGATTAATTGTTGAAGCCTCGTTTGCCACCAATGGTGACCACCCAACTACCTCTGAGCTTCGCTATGAAAGAGTGCAAAGGAAACATCGATTGTGCGAGTATAATCGATTTCATGCTCCGCATGGTACTCATACCGTGAGTAATTCGCTTAGTATAGCAAATAGAAAAACTAGTTGATACCTACAGCTGAACTTCCTGTACTCTAGCTCTTTCGGAACAGTTTCTGGACTAAAAGTTCTAGTCTTCGTTTCAATGTACATCCACGAATTTCTCCTAATTCTTAAAATTTGGGTGAGATGTATTTAATAAAATTTGACATTTTTTGAATCATACGTTCAGCTTTGTTGGCAGAAAATAGCTTAGTAGATTGCTTAATAGAGATTCAATAAGATAGCTTGATAAAGCAATACAATAGTTATTAAAATCATCAGCACGTGGTTCGTGTATAATCATATGTTACGTATAACTGTTACCCAAGAGTCAATGGGCGTCGTATTTAAATTAGAGAAACGATGGTACAAGTATCCTCTCTCTCTCTCCATATCAATGTGCTCTTCTTGTTTTCTTTCTCCAGCATCATGGACCGATTTTCTGCGATCGATAAATTAAACTGATATCTCTTCCGGTTTGAAAGCACGCTCTAGCATGGGGAAATGGCGAGACTCGTTTTTCGTGACAATGGAGAGACCGTTCATTTCCTTTCGTCCTTTTTTCCCTTCTCCTGGCTCGCCGGAAATTTTATTCCTTTTTGTGAAGGTCTAAGTAGAATTAAGCAGCAAGAAAATATATCATTCTATCATTTGGTTGCATGGAATAATTTTAAGCAATTTAATATTCCATAAATTTCCTAAAAATTGTAGGAACATGAACAAAGTAATAGAGGTGGTCCACAGTTAGCCTTGAGAATCCTAATTATAGTCAAACTTCTAAATTTGATTAAAATGAAAAAATTCAAACACTCATGATAATTCAAAAATAAGTATGAAGCTATATATTTATTATACGTAGAATAATAAGAATATAAATTAATATCATCTATTTATTATATTAAATAATAATATAAAACGATAAATTATCAATATTATAATATTAGACGTATAATATTTGGAAATAATAAAGTAAAACGAAATCTCTATCGTAAGTTGGAAAATTACTTTACGTAGCATAGAATTCTCTCGTACCAAAACGATCGAATTTCTTGGAATGTGGCTTGTACAGCTACTATTCGAGTTCGACGTGATTTTCAGTATTAATATTCGAACAATAGCCGTGCATGAAACTTTCTACCGATTTTGGTCGTTCACCAGTGATTTATGCGATCGAATGAAATTTATGCACCATTAACCGAGCACCTGCTTTTAGAATCTTTTACAACGTCCCTAACCGAGCACGATAAAGTCGCGATTATCGGAGTGATTTGTTGTGAAAGCGACTCGTATTGTGAAAACCTTTCGATATTTCCGATTATTGTGTTATTTTCTAAAAACACGTGGAAAATATACATCGGAAATACAAAGATACAAAATATCCATCGACATATTAGCTTTTCTATCTATAGAATCTTTCAAAACAAAATTTCCATAAATTCCCTCCCTAATTCAGAGAACCGTTTTAAAATATTTCCAGTGTCATTTAAAAATCTGTAAAAAAGCTTCTTTCAAATATATCCTTTAGAATGTCAATCAATAGGTCTTTACAATTTGTATGTCATCGGTTCCGCGAGTAACAAAAATTCGTCGTCCAAGATTCCCAGCTCAAACTACGTTTCAGAAAAGCGAGCGCAAAATCGTTTAACTTATTCAGACGGTGGTAAAAATGAAATTATTTATGCTTCATTGCGTGTTATTAAACGTTCACAGCATAACGCACTTTGCTTCAGAGAAATGAGACGTCGATCATATACCACAGGCACGGTAACTCAAAATAAAATAAAATCGTAACATGGGAAAATATCAACTCGACCATAAATGTCCGCATAAAACTGAAATTCGCGCAAGGAAGGATCTACAAGATACATATTTCTTGTCAAGAAGAACGTCCTCATTCTTACACTATCCTTCCTAACTGATACATCAAGGACCAAGGATGGTATAACAAAATGATGTCAAAATGGTATCAAAATAACATTAAAATGATCAACAGTATCAGAATAATCTTAAAATGGTAACAAAATGGTACCAAATGGTACCAAAATAGTATCAGATTGATATCAAAATGATAACAAATACCTAAGAGAGAAGAAGTTAGTCAAGACAAACTATATAGTTGATTGTTAGTAATTAATACTGAAAATATGGACTTATTCACCATGTCATGAACAAATTGAACAATGACATAGGTTTAAAAACCGATATAAAAATAGAGTCCCCTCAACTCAGCGATTCGCAAGTTCCCCTCTGGACTGAGGTCAACAGTTTGTTACGAGAACCGTCGCTCAAGGGGGTATAAACACCCGCGGTTGATTGACCTGTCGCCGCGACGCACATTCAACATCCTTTATTAAATGTAATGGCAACTTGATGATACTTACAATGCGACTCGCTGTCTTTTATAGGGAAACAGTAGCCATCGATGAAAAGATAGGTCTGGAAAATTCTTGACAGAAATTAACGCTAGAACTACCAAAGGGGTCAAAATCACTTGCTTTAGACATTTTATCTTTGCAATTGCTGAGAGTATGCAGTTGCTTTTGGCAAACTTACTATCGATCTTTATTTGAATGCGATGGTAATTACGTATGTTCTTTTACTTTCATTGTACTGCTTTAATTATCACCAATAATGTGTATCATATGTAGATACTCGTTACAGATCGGTAATTCTAGTGTTAAAAGGATTTGGAGAACGGTGAAAGTAATTGTAGTAAATGTAGTTCTAATTGCCATTCTGCGAGAGCTGAGAAAGAATGTACCAAATTTTGCGAACTTCTAAATTACTGAGGAACATTTTAAAAAATAACGATTACTATAAAGTATCTAGGAAAACTATACCGCTGTTTGAAGCATTTGAAGAAAAAATCTGCAGAAACTTTGAAACGTTATAAGAAAATTTTCAAACGCTAATAAGTCGATGTAATGAATACTTTGTATCACGTATCGACGGTATTTGGGAAACTTGAGGATTCTGGGAGATCAAGAAATCTCGATATCGAAAGTTAGTATCAAATAATAACATCAATAATAAGAAAAATACGCATCGTTGCATCACTGCAATAAGGGAGCTTCCTATTTACACTCGACATTGACAAAATTGTTAAATCATTTAATTACAGAAGAATAAACAAGTCCAAATTAGACCAGTCTTAAATAGAAGAGGTTTGCATTCTCTTAACAAGAATGCAAAATCATATACACGTTGTGTATACGTCCCTGCACTTGATAAGTGATCTACCAGAAAAAGAAAGTTAATTAAAAAAAAAAATTGACGCTAGGAAATACAATTGATGAATAAAATTCAAATTAGAAAGTAATTCAAAAAAGTTTGATTAAAATAATATTCACTTAAAAATTTCTTAGCTTGATCTGTAACTTATTGTTAGAAGTATTCTACCTTTATATGAAATGGCTATATTCTGCTCTTACAACTAGGATTTAAATAGTTTATTGTCATTAACACTGTATAGTTTTCTTCATAAATGATTAAAACTATACTTTTGCATAAAAAAATGATTGCAATAGCTTCATTGAATGTTTACAATCTATTCAAGACCATTTCAGAGTATATTACTGCTTCAAACAACATAAACGTGCACATGCATGTCCACCAAATAGCCAATTACGAAAAGAAATCAAATACTATGTATTAAAATTAACAAAATATTAACAAAATATTACTTTAAAAAAAATATTACAAAATTTTACTTGATTATGTAACATATTCCATATTGAACATATAATTTCATATTCAACGTTTAAAAATTCGCAAAGTATTTAATAATAATAAAATTTATAAAATAAATGAAAAATCAGAATTCAAGATGGAATAACATAAAAATTCGTCAAATATTTAACACATAAGCAATAATTATGTTATAATTATATTGCTTATTATATTTCTTACGTAATGCAATAATTGTATTATCTACCTCGTTCTTTCAAATACGATAAAGAAATAATTCAAACCTTGTTCCGCGCCGTTCAGAACCCCGTCGTTGGAAAATCGTTCCACGTGAATCGTTGTTTGAGTCGTATCGAGTCGAGTTGAGTTGTTGATCTTCGAAGATCAGTGTCGATTTTGAGAATGAAGGACACCGGTTGTACGCCTGGTACAACACGTTCGTTTTCGTAATAATATTTCACTTGCACGTCTTTAGACACTGACGTATCATCGTCGACGACGCGAACAATGAAAACGAAACACACCACACAGGGAAATGGAAACACAACCGCTCGAGTTCCTTCGTCGCGAAGCGCTGAATTCGAACTGATCGTCGCGCGCTTCGAGCCCTCCGCTACAAGTGCAAGCGCGCCATGATTCGTCGACTTTCGTTCAGTCTCGAAACCACTCGACACGGCTCGCCCCACTTTGCAGATTTCCACAGCAATTCTACACTTTCCTTCATTGTGAATTTCTTCTTTTCTTAATTATACTTTTCCTTTAAGTAATTACAAACGTCATAGATGAAAGAGTAGAAAATGGAATCTTCGTTCTATCTTTTCTTCATTCTTCTTTTTTCTTTCTTAACATATCTGTAAATTGAGTCTCAATAACTTTATGGAAACAGAAAAGTGAAGACAATAATATGCTATAATATTTTACCCTTTATTCGATTTTAGATGTAACCTTGTTGTAAGAGAATTTCGTTATGATCTTAAGAACTTCTATTTTCTTCTCCTCGCTCTTCCATTCCCTTTTAGTCTGTCTTTCATTAGGAAAACCTGTAAATTTGAACTTATGTAATTTCGTAGAAATAGGGGAGCAAGTGACAATATAGAAGATGCTGGTTTATCAGGGAATACGCATTTACTCATGGGAATGATTGCGTGAATGCATTAGAAAGGGACCAATTCACAAATCTCACAGCGGACGGACGAATATAACGCGCAGCACCCACGCTAGACGGAAGTAATGAACGTTGCTACGCTTATCTAGTTTGATACTTCCTTCCCAGCTTACACACATTTATACAAGAGCGTAGGTAGACTTTCTATGGATACAATCGCAATTACAGTCTTCATTACGATTTAGTCAAATCGATATTTTGTAATATTTTATATCTTATCTATTACACTGCATTGTTATTTAATTGTCAAATAGTATCAAGCATGTTGTATAATTGACTTGTATGTATTACATGTCTCATGAAACATTCTTGTCTAAAATTGATTGCGTAAAAATATCGAATCGTTGGTGATAAGTCACGTTTCCGATAAATGAAGGAAACAACACGTTCCAAGTCCACACGTGGCCTTTTGCTCGGGCCAGACTACGATAAGGCTTCAGTGCGACTTCCTTTTCATTATCAAATGTACCATTTCTGCATAGTGTTTTCATTGACGTCACTTTTACAGGTAACCTACAATCGATCAAACCGATAAAGAATATCCTTAACACGGTTTCCGATCTCCATTTTCCATCTGGTTGATCCTTGGTAATTCATAATTATACCTCCTCTCAGACAAATAATCGAATTTCTGAAAAAAGAAAGTCATTACAAAGGTAATTCATCAAATTTATTTGAAGAATATTGATTGTCATGAAAAATGATTGGAAAGTCTACCTTTAATTGCAATTAACTTCTATCGCTTAATGTATGTCTAGAGTCCAAAGATCTAAAAAGAATACATTGCCAAGAACTCAACAGAATGTTATTTAAAATTGGTAAAAATATATCCGAAGTCTAAGAAAACTAATTTTCAATGAATGTCACCAAGAATGCCATAAATTATCATGTAAAGTAGATATTAAAAATAACATAGCCATTTAAATCTTGCAAAGGGCTCGTAGGCTGGCTGCATTATACTCGCGTAAATGATAACAAATTGGAAAAATTAAACTTTAAAATATTGAACACCACAAAGCGACTAATGACACAGAAGTCAAACCGTAGTTTTTCTTCCGCCTTTTAACTGGCTAAAAGTCAAAAACGAAGCATTTTCAAGCGGTTTTCAGTGATAAGGCAGAGAAATGAGGCAGTTCGTGAGAGGATTAAATTAACTGATACGTTCTAATTTACGTAACGCAACGACCAGACCGAAGAAATTACAGCTGAATCACATGTCACATGCAACAAATAAGTGAGGTTCATTAACGCTCATTAAAATCATTTCACTAGCGAGATACGACTTCATATTATAAAAAATAAGATTAATGTCTTCTTAATACAATTTTTTGTTACGCTATAATCAGCCAAAATAGCATTTTATAATTGAAAGACAAAAAAAAGATGTAGCAAAAAAACATCAAACTCGCAAAAGAAAATAATATGTCTCAGTATTTATAATAAGCTTAAAAAATATGTTATTAATTATTTATATAGCAACTTCCACAAAATAGCAAAGTTCTGCATTAAAGAAACGTGTAGCAGCTACGATTAATACGGTAACATTCAAGATCACATGCATCCCATTCCTTTTTTATACATCTTTTTTAAATATTTCTCTAATATAGTATTATTTGTATTTAAAACGTTGAAAGTTCATTTCTGAACATCGACTACAACGTTTCTTCGAGAAAAAAAAAAATAATAAAATACCCATACAACTTTCACAATGCTGGCAGTTATCGTCGATCATAACGAAAATAAAAATCATTCCCTGCATTTTCTACCTGTCCAGATACCTGAACCAATTCTAAGAAGAAAGATGCTTGTGAAAAGTCGGCATCAATTTTCACGAACTAGACGAATGGATGTAGAAGGAGCTCTGTCATGATCCCTATTATAAATTCCATAATAGAGCTAAAGGTTACAGCTTTCAAATTAGTTAGAATACCTAGAAAATCGATAATCTGTGGTTCTTTAATGTAGATCTTCGTATATAATAATAAAATAATTTCTTATCTAAGTAATTTTAATGTAGAATTTATATCAATGACATTGAAGTATTAAGCATCATGTTTCTTAAAATCTCAATAAATCTGACCATGAAATACCAAAATCGTCCTTGCCCTACCTATTTTAGAGACTCCAAGGGTAATTTACTTTCATTCCATCTCGTTTTCGTTCAACCTTCATTAATTTCAGTAAAAATGTATGTTCACTGGTTGCGACCCAGTAATATTAAACATATCAATCATCTCATAACATAATAATTCGTATTTTACTAGAATCATTTTACAAAAACAAAATTTATTATGTACAGCGAACAAGGACGAACCTTCCTTCAGATACGATAATTTTCTTTGGGTTTTCGAAAATCATATAAATTCCCTATGTTCTGTCACTTCCTCAAACCAAGCCTTTTTACGAAATTTTCATAGTAAATTTACAATACATAATACCATCTAAAATAGTATACAATAAATGATAATAAAATAATTAATTGTCGTAAGTTCAATATCCTTTGATCTTCAATTGAATAAGAATAAAAATTTAATTTCACGATGATATAATTATGTCAATTATACTCTTGTAGCCTTGGCAAGATCATTGCCACCGTGACGATGGCGCAAGAAGCAATCGGCGATTACGCGTGCCTCTATTGCGGAATGCCCTGCATTTTATTGTATTTAATAGCGCTCTACTTGTGCGAGCGTGTCAGCGAGGGTTTGATTTGATTTGTCAAATGGTTGGTCAAGGATTATCATATTAACATAGCCCTCATATCCTTTGTCATCTTGATACCACGTATATTTGATCTTATCGCGTTCTTTTATGCATGTAATACTGACATTATAGTTCCCTTTGATTATCTTATATAAATCCTTGAAAATTTAGTTCAAAGACACTATTTCTATAAAATCCAAAAAGGGGGCTTTTATTGTGTTACAATCCTTCCTTAACAATAATTCATCACTACAATCCTAAAAAGAAAAGTTACAATAAACAATAGAAACTGAAACTGTCCATAACTTCACTGCTTCTTTGTGATACCCTCGTACCAAATTACAATTTTTTCAAACATCCTAGACCTCAATAAAGCTACAACAAACATACTTTCCATTTTTATCATTACCTGATTAATATTCGTTTTCTAACTACTAGCTTCATCTTTTAATTTTCTACAACTATATATAAAAGATATTTTTGGTTACATTTGAAAAAATTACATTTTTCTGTATTTAGAAATATCTTTATGAACAACTTTTAGATGATGTGACAAATGACAATGAAGAAACGCATGTTGACATAACTATACAGCTTTCGGAGAAACTTGACTGTGTCAGGGTATGTATATCGTAAATATATTCTGTTTAAGGTTGATGGCTAGATTGTCTGCAGTTGACGATTAGTCTCGAGCACTCATATCATACCAGTTAGCTCGAGTTACTCACGTAGTTCACCTCATGGAACCGTAATCGGGGTTGTCTACATCGTCTGACACTGATTACCAATTCAACGCCCCCGCCTAGACGTTCCCTCCTTTTATAGATGGACGTTCGACAACTACAAATTACAAAAAAGTGAATCAAAAATAGACTACGATGCTTTATTTGTTTTCTTAATTGATAAATCTTCAAATCTTAACATTGAAAATATTAATCATTTTGTACCACGTACCATATAAAATTAAACATCTATAAATTTCTTGAAATGTAAGTTCATCTTCTTAAATTTTTTCTGAAACATAATAAGATGAACTAAGAGGAAATATATAAATAATATGCAATAAAAAAGAAATAAAATAATTCAAAAGATATACGAAGCAGATATTTCGTGTTCATGGAAGCATACTCTTCTGATTCAAATTATCAAAATTAGCTTAAAAACACCAATGAAACGTTTCCAAGGCAAGCAAGACAAGGTTCAAATGTACGCTTAAAATGCAAATAAATGCAGTAATGCTTGCGTTCCTAACTCACCTATTTTCATTCTTTTAACGATTGATTTGTATTTTATAAATATTTATCTAACATACACTCGTGTAAATGCAATCAATTCTAAAATAATTATCTTTATATGGTAATAATCCTATTAAAACACACACTTTCATCTCCAAGTTCAGCTATGAACAGACGCTGAAAGAAAATAAAAACAATTCTTAAAGATTTGAAATTTAAAAATTAGATTTCTAAATTCGAATTTTAATCATTAATATTACTAACCATTACCTTTCGAATCTTGTATAAACATTTATTTCTCTTCTAATTTTCTAATTATATCGATATGATAATCAGAAAAATCGAATAATTAAATTAAAAAAGGTTAAAGTTTGAGCAAGATGGAACCTTAGAAATATGTCGGAACTTCGAGACATCTATAGATTAATTTAATTAGTTTCATTTCTTATTCCCAATAATCACTTCTTCTTCCTGCACTTCCCCTTCTACCTTTTCTGTATCCAGTTCGGCGAGCCGTTGAAATCGTCACGCATTTCCACCGTTGAAATAAACTTCTTTGCAACTCCCTCAACCGCGGATCGAAATGGATTTAAAACGGAGGCTAGGCCAATCAGACTGCACAACATGCGCGCATGCGCACTCTAATAATCTACTCCTGTCGCAAGGAACGCGGCTTACCTTGCCGTAGTCGCAGAAAAATGTTCTAGTAAGATTAATTCGTTTGATTTTTATCGTGAGTGATTTCTTCAAAGTTTGATTTAAGAAGCAAAATAACAGAAGTGCCAAAGTGAGAATAACTTTTGCGAAATGTCATCAAAAAATTTTCGTCGATTCACACTTGTCGCATGCTAACTCGATTTTGTTCTTCGTCTTATAAAAACACAAATTTGCAAATATGAAAATTTGACAATAACAATTGAAGAGGGATACATGATATCTGATAAAAAGGAAGTCTTCGGTTAAATTATTTTCGTGATAAAGGTACTGTTCAAAAGAAAATTGTTCACTGACTTTATCAATTTTATTTTACACAATCGCATCATCCACAGAATGCAGACAACGAATCTGAAAGTATAATATTAAACTGTAAGGAAATTTATGAAGAAAAATAGAAGCGCTTGCGCTCGATACTAACCTATCGCAGTAGAATGCGAGTACAAAAGTGCCCGACATCCTTTCCATGCTAATAGGAACCTTTTACTAAACGTACAAGCCTAAAACCATAAAATAATACAAAAAAAGTAATTGTTATAAACAAATTCAACGACAAACGTCAATATTGTATCTACATTTCATTAACCAATCGTGACGAAAAACGATAATTAACGTAAAGGTTAACATCTTTAGCGGCAATAAATCAAGAAAGTAAACTAACGGGTAATTAACGGTAAAATAAAATTAAATGACTGAAACAATGTTAGAGGGTAGACAAACGTTTGTGCCCACCAATTTGTTCTGGTTGGAGCCAGTGTCGTGGAGAGACGTGAGAAATTTATTTCACGATGTCGTTCACTTAGACCCTTTGAATTCTCCAAAGATCATTGAGATAAAATTATGCAACAGAATTGCTGAAGTAAAAGAATGCAGCGTAGAAAAGTGTCGTTGAACCGGATTTATTCTGGTCATTCAGTTTGGTGTTACTATCAACGACGTTCCTGTCATCAAGGTCGTGAGGTTCAGAGAAAACCTGACTGATTCCGTCGGCCACAAAATGTTGACGGAAATGGTTCGACTTTCGTACCAGCACCGAGCGTTCTACTGCTATGTTATCCTCAGTGTGTGGATCTTCCTCCTCGTTGCTGGTAATTGGAGAAACCTGGAATTCTTTCATTTGACACTTACTTGTCTCTTTTCTATGTTCTAATCTTCCCATATATTTGATATTGATGTTTCTATTGATTGTATATTTAATTTCTATGAAAATTAAAATTCAGGTTTATTATTGTATTAACTACATTTTTATTTTTATTTTATTTATTATATTGTTTTAAGTAATAAATCATAGTATGATTGCAATTGAATTAAAAACCATTTCGATATTTCTACAAATATCAATGTTTATCGCAGCACAAACGCTCGAAAATAAATACACGTGACAATGCGATTAACTGACGCGTACACCTTTTCATGTTATCAGCTTCATTGGCCCGTTTCAAGCAGTGTATAAATATAAATTCCCTTACGATCTAATTTGTTTCTTTTCACTTTCTTTTATAACAAGCAAATTGAATATCAATTTATTGTTTATATGTACACACTCATTCATATACATGTAAATTCTAAGACTATGTAATTTTATTAATTAAAATTATAATATTAAATTATATATATAGGTATGTACAAATACATTGGCATAGATGAAAAAAGTTCTATGCAGACTAGAGTTCTAGGAAATGATATCTCCGTCAGAGAGTTCCCCAGAAATTTAAAAACTGATGTAAAAACTAAAAAAATATTTCAATTTTGTAATCCACCAAGTGAAATTACAGCAGAAACAGAAGGTATTATAAACAAAATTTTTGTATATCATTAAATAATCATTAATTAATAAATTGATAAACTAATTATATAATTTTCTTCTTTTTAGGAAAATTGGATGGAAATTTAACACTAGGAGGGATTTTAGTATTTGTTCGACATGGAGACAGAGGGCCTTTGGCTCACATTCGAAATATAAGTATAGTAAATTGTGGTGGAGATTTTAGTACTATACCTGAATTAGAAAGCTTGTACCAGAACTATGTAAACTTTTTACAAAATGTCTCTAGTTACTCCAGAACTGCTTGGGCACAATTCTTGGGACCATTTCATGGTTTCCCTATGTTGCCTAGCAATTCTAAAGATTGCAGAATTGGTCAGCTGACAACACTTGGTATTGGACAACTACTAAAAACTGGAATCATACTTAAAAATGCTTATTATCATAAGTTGAATTTGGGAAATGGTTCTATATCCAGCAAGGATATTGTTGTATATAGCACTAGGTATCGAAGAACAGTCCAAAGTGCAGTTGCATTATTATATGCTCTACTGGAGACGGATGGTTTCCAGAATCTGGCTAAAATCACTATGCAAGAGAGTCAAAGTTATGCTTTTTGTAACACAGATTGTGCATGTCCTGCTGCTGAAAAGTTCTTCAAACAACACTTAAAAGTAAATTTTAGTCTTTTTGAAAGATTTAATATGCAATTTATAACATGATGTACCTTGTTACAGGAAATGTCAGATCATTTGAAATCTCATCCAGCAATTGCCGAGTTAATACGGCAAGCTTCCAATGCAGTTTTTGAGATTTCTGATCAGGCCCAAATGACAGATCCCAATACCTTAAAGGATGCATTATTAACATACATATGTCATGGAGCTTCCTTGCCCTGTACTGATTTTAATACTCAAAAAGTTTGTGTGAAAACTGAACATGTGACAGGCCTGTTTACTTACACAGAATGGGAATCTAAGCAAATAGCAAAAAGTAACAGTCGCAGAAAATATGGATTATTAAGAGCATATGGACTACTTCGAAATATTGTTTCTTACATGTTACGGATTATTTCCGAGGCCAAACCGAAGATAGTTTTATATTCTGGTCACGATAAAACATTAGAATACCTCGCAACTGCTCTGGGGATTTTTTCCGACAAATTAACTATGCCGCATTACGCTTCCCGCTTCGTAATTGAAGTTTATAGAATAAATCCAAAAAATGAAAATCATGTAGCTAGTGATTTCTATTTCCGGGTAGTGATTAACGGTAAAGATTTCACTCAGAAAATTCCATTTTGTAAGAATGCAAATTTCTACAGCGTTAGTTATATCGAACACAATGAAGTGGAAAAAATGCGCAAAGATTCAAAATTATGTCCAATCGAGACTATCATTAGACAACTTCACGATGATTATTTCGGACCATTCAATGCAACTAATTTCAAAGATGCTTGTACCAATCATAAACGTGGGTAATGCAAAAACAGAATATTCTTAAATTGAATTCCACCCCGTACAATTACAATTGGTGTAATTTCGTAACAACGTTGGCCGTACAAAAATTTGTTTAACATTCTTCTGTGAAATCAATGGGATGAAAATCAATCGCAAATTATATATTGAGTGTCCAGTTCCACTAAAAGTGAGATACAATGCAGTGCAAATTTATATCTCCTTACAAACTCAAGCGGAACAGATAATAAGTCTTAACGATTTTACAAAGAAAGTATCAAAAATTTATTACGTCGAATAAATACTTTATTAAATATAAAAATATGAGAATATGAAATATGTAAAAAAGATGCTAAAATTTGCACTGTTTAGATACTATATCTTCGAACGAATAAAAAAAAGGAAGCCTTATATTCTTAGGTCTTATGAAATCTAATATAACTTTAAATATATGTGTGTATATGTATATATATACATATATGTACGTATGTATGTGTGTGTTTATATATGTGTACATACACACACATTTAAAGCTAGATGATTGCCATATATTTTATCACACGTCTTACTGTATATATGTAAATAACTTTTACCAAACAAAAATTGTGTTTAATGTTTTCAATGTTAAAGAAATTATAGAATTCTATGTAATTCTCCATCTTTGCCATCGTTAATTAGTATTGTTTCCCTCATTAATCTAAAATTAGTTCTTATTACATTTACAATGGACCAGAATCTTCATACAAAAATGATCATACTGAAATGTTGTTAAACTCATGTATCTATTTGCACAGTTTAAAATTAGCATTGAAAAGCTGTACAAGTCTATTTATCTGAAAGATAAATGCAACAATGATGTCAAATTAAATTATAGATACATTTTTTTGTTAAAATACATATTTATCATAAACTATAATATTAATGGTTAAATAATTTATTAATCAACTCCTATCAACCAACAATCTGATACAAAGATATTTTATACTTTATTTGCAATATAAAAACGTACATATCATCAATAAACAAATACTAGAACACTTATTACAATGTACAAGGCACAAATTTGTATTCTTACAATAGTACGCTTAAGAGCAGTATTTCTATCAGTAACTTTGGTAAAACATAATATATAAGCAGAAATATAACGACATTTTGTTCGACCTCTTAGAAATTCTTAGAAATACTAGTAGTATTGAAATTATAGCACACATAGTACATCATTGTGTAATAATTAGTGTAGAAACTTAACATGTGTTTGCAAATGGTAATTCCTTCTACAGTTCTATATACAACCTGTAGAAAAAATACAGTCGAGAAAAACTCAAAATTTTCAACAATATTCTTTCCGATAAAGATGCCCAATTTTTAACATGTTTAATTGGTGTAACGACCGAAAATAGCAATTCCATGCGAATCATATAATAATGATCGCATACGAAAAATAATAACGTGATTAAATCATAGTCTACAACATTTATAAAACGTAGGTACAGAATGTAATACTACTCTGGAATAATTTGAAGATTCCCAGCCTCCACCATTGTTAAACCCAACGACGTCTGAATATTCATCAAACGCTGGTAATACTGTTCAAGTGCAAACCCGTCAAAACCACCATTTCCACTAGAAATGTAATTTTAAAAAAGTTAAAATATTAATTTTAAAATGATATATTAATTTACTTACTTTGAAGTACTCTTATCTCGAACAGGGGGCGAATGATTTACACTGGTTTTCTGAAATGGTATAAAGGACTGATCCATGTTCCATAGTAATGTTTTTACACCTATTCGTTTCTCAGTGTTCCATCTCAGAATTAGCCACTTCATTCTATGGATACTGATCAGGACAAATACCGCACTCCTAAAGCGCACTTTGGGCGATTTTCTATTACGACTTACCACAGCATAGGACCGCTCTT